GCCTCTGAAGCCTGTCATGGCTTGGCAAATGCCCATTTGCCCTCTGACCATTGTGGTCAGAGGAGGGCCCTGCCACACAAGGTGGTGGAGGGATGGCCCTCTGCGTTGCATCAGTGCCCCATCACCCCCACAGCCATGGCCAGGGTCTGCATCCATGCTCTTTGGGCCCAAAAGCAGATTCCAGCTCTCCTGGGAGAGCAGTGGGAAAGGGAAGGTGAGAAACTGAGGATCTGGGGCAGGTTCAATGCATTGATGACATCCAGCTATAAAGCAGAGGCTGGAGGGAGGTGAGGATTTGCTGGCACCTGCTGGGCACACCTTTGACAGAGTCAGGGGAGGTGCTGAACCAGGTCCTGCCATGCTGCACTCTTGCCTTCCCTGGTGCTATGGGTGCAGGCACATGCACCTAAATGCCTGCATCAGGGTCAAAGGTCTCATTTTATACCCCATTTCTTGCCCTGCTTCTCTCTTCCCTATTCATAAGGAGGTATTGCAGGGCCTTCAGCTCAAACCAGGACACTTGAGCTGACCCTGACACACGCTTCCTCCCCAGAGACAGAACCATATCTTCCCCTGCACCTCCTCTCCCACCCCGTCTTTCAAACCTGCAAGACCAGAAACCTGCAGGAAACCAGTTTAAGGTGCTAACCTCTTGGCCCATACTTTGAGCAAACTTGAGATGCAGCCATAGAACCCTCTGCAGCAGAGCTCAGACCTGGCTTTCAGGGGAAAAAGAGAGGCATGGCCCCAGGGCTATACCACTCTGGGGTATGCTTCTTGCTCTGCCCAGGAGAGAGGTGCCAGCTGTCACCAACCCCAGGCTCACCTACCCCAGGGCAGTCCCACTGGATAGAAAGGGACACTGCCGTGGGGTGACTGGAGGTCTCATGGCCATCAGGACATGGCTGTACCCACTGGCAGGGCAGCAGGGTTTATCTGACCCAGCTGAGCCCTCATTCCTTCAACAGCATTGCAGGGTCCACCATGCCTGAGCTGAGCCTTATGCATGGCAACCACATAGCCAGGCACCCACAGTGTGATGAGTGGCACCAGGTACGGCATCCATTCGTCACACATACATCTTATCCCCAAGGAATTTGGCTGAAGAGGCTCTTCAGGTGGCATTTTCTTCTCCAGGCGAGCAGGTTGAAGAACTGAGTAACAGAAAGCTTTTCTAGAAGGTCTGGCTACACATTTCCACTCCTCTCTCGCTCCTCACCTTTTGTGAGTGTGACAAAGGCACCTCCAATCTACCAGCATCTCACCTCAAGGGGCCAGGAACACGCACAAGTGCAACCACTCCACTTCCTCAGGACCTGTTTCTGTCTGCTTCTTCAGAGGTAAATAAAAAACCCCAAGAAGGCTGGGCTCCTGATCTGACAGAGTATTGCATTCACTAGGGTATATATAGCCCCAGCTCTGGGTCTGACACAGGACCAAAGAGGCCTGTAAGGATGCCTATGATTATGTTTTCCACTCCTCGCCAAATGAAGCGTCTGGTATGTGTCAAACCACAGGAGAAGCTATGTGAAGACGAATTTAACTCAAAACAGAAGGTCCTATATAGGCATCTAGTCCTGCTTTCTTGTCCATTTCTCCCCTCCAGCAGGAGTCCCTTCAGTTCAAACCCTAAAGATGCTACCCTCTCCCCCCTCACACCTACCTCTTTGACCTGCACTGAGACCTCAATAGGGATCTTCTTGTCCTTAAGACTCTAGACCTTCTTCTCAAGCCTCTAAGTCTCCACTCCACCCTCATGTCTCCACATTTTCCCCAACTTTATAGGCAATTGCCACTTGCCTTTGCATCTCCGACCCGAATCTCAAGCCTTCCACACACAGGACTTATAAAGATGTGTGTCCAATTTAACTCTGGAACTGCCACCCACCCCATTATTAGCAAGCACAAGTGTCTAGTCAACAGTTTAATGTCCCTTTTATGCCTGTACTTCCTGGCTTTAACCTCATGGCAGAGAAAAGAGAAACACCACAGGGAAAACAGAAGACACACACGCTCACTAAGTACCTGACAGAAGGATGTGCTAAAAATTTCACTAGATAAAGGGTCTGATTCCCCTTAAGAAAAGTCCATCTTTAGCCCAGCTTTTCTAAATAGAATCAGTTAAGTACTCTGAAGCCTAAGCCTACAAACCATTGTGTTGTCCTGGTTTGCTGGTTTGTTTTTTGGGTTTTTTTGTTTGTTTGTTTGGTTTGTTTTTTGTTTTTGTAATTTCCACAGAATCCTGCCTTGAATTTGCTTAAAGTTTTTGCAGCAGAGAGGAGAGTCCTAATTAGAAATGTCAAAGTAGCATATAGCTTTAAAGTTGTGGTTCTCAATAAAGGAAACAGATAGAAGGTTGCCAAGGAAAGCCCAGGGTATTTTCAGACCTGAGTTAGATTTTTTTACCTATCTCTTTTAAGTCAATGTCTTTTCTATTGGACTATTCAGCAATAATCAGAGCTAGAAGGAATAGCAGATTTAAGTGCAAAACAACCAGGGAAAAAAAGTTTAATACCACTGAAAATAATATATATACAAAAGTTCTTGTAGTTTGGTTTTGTAACATAAAGCACCATTAATTCCACAGTACATTACAACACAGCCTACTACACCCAATACTCCTGAAATCTGATTTAGCACCAAGGGATTACCATCTTGTTTAGCACCAAGAAGTCTGTTAAACATACCCTTTGGTCCCCCTGCCCTCCTCTCTTGTGCATCAGGCACCATCTGGCTGCTCGGGGGCAGCTCAGGAGTCCTATCACTGGCATTCAAACACCAAACAGAAAAGGAGGAAGAAAGAAGCTTTTTTTTTCTGGAGATACTCAGTGTCAGAGAGGCTTGGTTCATTTCAGAGAGAGGCAGGGGCACGATACACTGTAAATAGACATTATCTGGGTTTGCAGTCTGTTGAGGAAGAGAGAAGGGATTTGGTCCTGAGCATCACCTCCAGCATGCTGCTTCCTCTCTAGTGCCTGAAATCCTGTCTCTGAGCAATTCCACATGCTTGATCTGCCAAGGGATGGGAAGAAACTCACAGTCTCCTTTAGTTCCCATGATCTCACCATCATGTTTCCTTGGGAAAAACCTAGCTATGCCTCAGTGAAACCTTGGGTTTATACTCATTGCCTCAGTGACTGTGGTGGGAAGGATCCAGGTCCATCCAGAAAGTACCTGAAAATCATTCCAGTCTGTACAACTTCCTTAGCAAAGCAAGGAAGTAAACAGGGCAAGAGAGAAAATGTCCTGCAATTCTCTCATGTTCCTTTTTAATATTTAGCCTGGTCCCTGTGCCTTTGCCATCCTGGGCTGAGTGTTCCGGACCTAGTCCTGTATAATGATGCGTCTCTCCTATGGGAGAGCTCTGCTGGTCCCAGACACTATAGGCAGAGACCACGGCTAATCACGAGGCAGCAGAAGCTAAAAAAGTCAGAAGACTTCATTACCAGTGATGGGCAAAGGAGAAATACAGTTTCTTCTGCTTATCCTGTCCTGAGACTCAAAAAAGAGACAACTCCTGGCACTGCTGTTTACAGGAGCATCACAATATGTGGAAGTAGGTTTCCCAAAGTAGTGAGTGTCTTTACCTGCTCCCCCCAGGCCCCTTGCAGGCCCCAGATGGATGTGAATGGAAGCAGCGTGAGGCCTGTACAAATGGTACTAGAAAACCCTACTGCTCACATTCTTTTCCCACTGCAACACATATAACCTGACAAGAAGAGCAAGGGTTTGTTTTAGCCACATGATTTCTCAGTTGCTCTGATGAGACTGCCAGTAAGGGGCACAGAGCATGTGGCAGGGAAGCTTCTAACCCTGGGGCAAAGTGCTGCAGTCTCGCCGCCTCCGTGTCTTTTCCATCACAGAGGCAAACAGGTGCCAACCTGCCCAGCTTTGGAACTTGAGCCTCCAGCTCAAGTCCTGACACAGCAGTCCCTCAATACCAATGTGGGAGAACCACCTTCAGGAGGACAAGGTAATGGCACACAGAAGCTGGCACCTGACTCTCTCCTCACATAAGCAAGTGTTAGGGATAACTGCTGATACCAATGGAAGAGCATGGGTGCACCTCTGCCAAAGAAGACAACATATTCAGGGTCACTCTCTGGACTAGTTTTCCACAGCTGGAGAACTGAGACCGAGTAGCACCCCAGGGGTGGCTTAAGAATGAAGTTTGGGAGGATTGTCTCCCTATCTTGTTCTGTACTTACAGTTCCTGGTCAGAATACAGTGGTGGGTTCTACTGATTCCATGGCAGATGCCTCTGAAGGGTCTGGCTCAGTGTCTGGCCCTTTATCTCCTCAAAGAGCTTGAGCTGGAATGGAGGAGGACAATCCCACCAGGTCTAGATTTTAAAGCCAACCTGGACTCTGTGACCCAGAAGAGTACCTAAGGAAAGCCAATGACAAACTTCAGAAGGCCAACAGCTCCCTTTTTGGAAAGACAGTATTATCTCTCACTACTCCTACATCTTCCTTGTGCTACAGGAAGCTGTCAGATCGCAGTCCACTCTCCAGACTAGAGGTGTGAGAGGTGACATCGAGGCCATGCTGCAGGCTACAAAACTGGCATATCTAGTTGAGACGGAGAGAAGCCAGGATGCACCTGGACACTGGGGACTTTCTAGCCCTTTACACTGGAGTCATTTGTGTATAAAGCCCTGAGGAGGGACACGTTCCCAGAGGCAGCATTTTGGCTTTCCTCCTGCTCTTGGACTCTAAAAGCCAGCCACAGCTCACTGGCAGATTTAGAAGAAGCCAATAACCTAAGCTGGGGTCATGAGGTGAGAGGCAGAGAGATGGTAGTGTCACGCTGGAAGTGGGCAGATACAGCCTGGCTACAAGAGAGAGTGAGGTGGGAGTCAGTGGAGCAACTTTCACACTCAGTGCCTGAGACTTGACAGGCTCATTTCCAAGTGATTTGCAGTGGTTATGGGCAATAAAGAGAGAGAGAGAGAGGAAGAAGGAAAAGGCCATAGAGGCCCCAAGGAGGAGGAGTGGCGGTTAGTCAAGGCTGGGCTTGACCAGGTACCCGTTGAAGGTGATGTACACATCAACATCATCACTGTAAATGGCATTGTCCCTCTCCCGCTTGTAGAGCCTCACCCAGATCTCATCATTTTCCTGAAGCTCCAGCATGAGGCTCTGGCTCTGCATGATGCTGCGGTCACTGGGCTGGGCATATAAGATCACTGCCTCTTCTTCATTGTGCATGATGTGCATGTAGGTCTCCTTGAAGTTCCAGGTATGGACGTTGAGATTGAAATAGTAAAGTCCACCTACATAGCAGTAGAATTTACCATTGAACATGTCAAAGTGGCTGTAGAGGTTGACGAAGACTGTGTCGAAGATCAAGACCTGGAAGCCCTCGCTGCTGTGCAGCGCTTTCTTGCGGCCGACGGAGAAGGCAGCGTAGTGGTGCTTGCAGGGCTCTCCTGCTGTGCCCATCTGTCCTTTGCTGCCTTTCTGCCCCTGGGCGCCCCGCTCACCTCGTGGTCCTTCTTTGCCCCATTTCCCTGGCATTCCAGGCTCTCCCCGGTCTCCTTTCTCTCCTATAACAGGAAGCAGAGGACACAACTGCTGTGTGATACCAGAGGAGAAAGCCTAATGTGGAAGCAGAGGGTTGCTTAAGGAAGGGACAACGCTAGAAGAAAGAAGGTCCTGAGGGTCATGATATCATTGTGCTTCATGAGAAAGGAGCTAGCAGAGCTCTGGGTGTGACTGGGGTCTCATCTCTTAGGAACCCTCTCCTCCCCTCTGCATTGCTGAAGGCAACAGGACCTGTCCCTAGGAGACTTCAGCCTGAGAGGAAGGCAAATACCACAGGGGCTCTTGACTTCCTTTACCTCCACCACAGCCCCTGCCCTCCTACAAACCTCTCCTATGACCCAATTCTCCATGCACTGTGCACACTGTTCTTGCTGTAGGCTGGAGAAGAGGAAGAAGTGTTAATGTCTGTGGGACAACATGACTGGATAGGGACAATGAGGTGAGTCAGAGTGAAAAGATGCAAGCTGGACCTGGCAGAGGGTGCAGTGCAAGTTGGAGGGCTGGTACATTGACATACTGGCGTACACCTTTGTATAATTAATATTGGGGTTTGTGCATTGTCTGACACACACTTGGACACGCATCAATACAGACAGCAAGCAGCACTAGAATGTACTTTGTGTATAGAGAGAAGAGATGGGGGTCAGAGCAGCCTCCAGCACAAGTGACAGCATCCCAAATTTGTGCCTTGCTCTTTTCCTCCTCTCCATCCCCTGCGTGGTATTGCAGGTCCCCCTGCAACACCCCACTCTAGTCCAGGCCTCTATCTGCCCCAGACACACTTCTGAGTTTCAATGGATTTAAGCTATTTCCAGGCTGGGCAGAGAAAGGGAAGCATTTGCCCAGCTAGCCCAGAGGAACCACAGAGCAACAGCAAGCAAGTGGAGCAGGATCCAGCTGGAAACAGGCTTTTGCCCACAGCAAAGGCTAAAAGGGGAGCCCTGAAGGGAGGAGCTGATCTAAAATAGGGAGCCTTTTCCCGTTAGCCAAGCCAGCCACAGCAGGGTGGAACAAGCTGGAGGTCACTGCCAGTTAGCCTGGAGGTGCTTGCAAATAGCTGCTGCCATCCCTTGCCCTCCTCCTGCTTCAAAATGCATGTAACCCATGGAGCCGGAGAAAGATTCCCTACAACCTTCCTGGGCAACAGTGCCTACACTCCAAACCTGCTGATGTTATCACAGAATTTTGCAGCTGGATAGAGACTGCTCCTTCCCTCAGCCACTACAGGACTCTGGAAGTCTGAGGCAAGGAAGGTGAGGCATGACAAGAGGCTACCACGGCCATTCCCGTGCTAACTGGCAGGAAGAGCTGGTAGCAGGCAGCATCCTAAGACATGAAGGTCACCACTTGGATATACACTGACTTCACTTCCTCTGGGCTAGTCTTGGTCACGGCACAAACCACTAACACCCTGGGCACGGTGCGAGTGGGCACCTACCCTTCATGATGGCATCTGGCAGCCTGACAGCATAACCAGCACGCCAGAGGGCCAGCTGTCACCTCCACCGCAGCGTCACCAGTCCCTGAGCAGGCCTTGGCATCCCAGGGCCAAGAGGGGCACTTACCCTTCAGGATCGTGATGTTGATGTAGGGACGGACCTCCGGCATCGGGTAGGGCAAGCGGCGGTGGCTGGGAGGGAGAGGTGGGACGTCTGTGGAAGAGTCCAGTGGGTCACAGCAGCGCTTGCAAGCACCAGGGGCCGGTTCAGCGAGGTTGGGTTCATCAGTGGGTGCCCCAAGCACAACAAGAGGGAGAAGGAGGAAGACCAGGGGTGCGCACAGGTAAGTTATGCCCATGGTGACCTGAGGAGATACAAGCAAGTGTCAGAGTGAGGTATAAGAAGGGATGGTCCTGGGGAACGGAGCAAAGATCACCACAAAACCTCTTTCTGCGGTTGGAGCCCGGGGTAGGATGAAATAGCATTGTCCTGTGGAGGAAGTTTACATGCTGTCCCTGGAGGTTCAAGGCTGCAATCTGAGCACCAACCACATGAACCAAGAGGATGCCCCACGCCCTTCTGCCCAGACCAATGCAGACTAGGTGCCAACCCTGGAAGAAGGCTTGACCTTCCCTCGGCAAACCGCTGGAGCCATTGGAAGAATCAGTCCCCAGGCTGGGATAGAGGAAGGAGCCATGGCAAGCCTCACAGTTCCTTTAGCAAAAGCACCTTTCAGTGCTCCGTCTGCCCGGAGAGCTGTAAAAAACTCCTCCAGCCAGTGGGTATCAACTCTTTTGACCCAACACCCCCCTTGTCCCACAACTGTCAGCAGAGAGACCCCTTCTCCTGTGGGCTCAGAACTTCACTTCAGCCACCTCCTTCCCCCACCAAGTCCCATCCCTCAGCCCCCCACCACCGACGCCCAGTTCCGCCCTCAGCCGAGCCCCAGCACCTCCCGGAGCGCTCCCCGGGGCAGCGCCGGCCCTTCCGAGGTGCCCGGCGGGGC